CGGGCTGGAGGAGTGCCGGCTGGTGCTCGAGGACGTGCTGCAGAGCGAGGACACGGAGGGGGTGCCGCTCCTGATCCTGGCCAACAAGCAGGACCGCGAGGACTGCGTCGAGGTGGTGCGCATCAAGGAGGGGCTCGTCAAGCGCGTCTTCGAGGGCGAGAAGTCGCACAGCATCCGCGACTCGAGGGTCCTGCCCGTCTCGGCACTGACGGGCACGGGCGTGCGCGAGGCCGTCGAGTGGCTGCGGTCCCGCGTCAAGTGGAACAAGGAGTCCAGGCCGCCCGTCATGAGGTAGCCCGGGGGCAGCGGTGCTTCCTCGTCGCTTCGTTTTCCCTTTCACCGTCCCGTCTTGCTACGTTCCCTTACAGAACCATACAGAGCGATTGGTTTACTATTCATTTCTTTTAGAGTTCATATGTTTAGACCAAGAACGTGGAATCTTGGGGCAAAGCCGCCACCACCGAACCAACGTGTTCGGTAGCTCCGATCTAACCAACCACATATGGTGCTCGTTAGAGGCCCTGATATGGTGATGTCTGGAAAAGTACAATGTAGAGTTTCTGGGTATCTTTGTATTCCATTATTTTCCTCCTCGCTCCGCTCTAGCCTGCTGTCCCTTCTCTCCCAGTGCCAGGCTTGTATCACCTGGCATTTTCAGCCGAGAGCTCCGCCAAAAGGCCTCCCTTGTCTCTTTTCTTTGCGTCCTCGGCTAGCCTGTCATCCACCAGCTTGGAGAACTCCTTGGCCTTCGTCAGGGCGATGGCGTTGCACTGCAGCAATGCGACGGCATCGACCGCGGCGCCTCCCAGCTTGGAAATCTGGCAGATCTCCCCGTGGCGGTTGAGGCTGATGGTGCAGTGGCCCACGCGGACCTGCTCTTCGAGCCAGTTGGCGTCCACAGCGAAGAGGTCCCCGGCTTCGTCGCCGCCAGCCGACTGCGAGGCCTCGCCGAAGAAGCTGAAGGTAACGCAAAACGGCGAGTGAAGCCAGCTCAGGGGCACGGGCTCGCGCTCGGCGGGGGTGTAGACTGTCAGCGCTTCGCCTTCGATCGAAGTGTCGGGCTTTCGGAAGTGGCGCAGCGCTGTCACGACGGCGAGGCACGAGGCGTCGACCAGGTTGCCGTCGTGCGAGAGGACGTGCAGATCGACGCGGACGGACCAGCACTTCAGGCCGGCGATGAGGCAGAGGGACTCGGTGTCGAGCGCCCCAGATCGCCGGACCGTCTTCTCGAGCAGGCGCGACAGTAGCACCTCGGCCTCGGTCGGGCGGTTCACCTCGAAGGCGGGCGACGCCATCGGGCTCAGCTCCGTGACAATGTTGAAGATGCCATCGAAGGGTCGGTCTGCGTAGGGAACCGTCACCTCGGCTGAGGTCTTGGCGAGGATTCTGTTTGTCGAGAAGGGCGGCAAGGGAGGAATCGTCAGCAAAGCCCCCCCTTTTGCGCCGCATGGCAGTCAAGACGGCGGCGCGATCGTAACAAGACAAAACCAATTACCGTGTTTTGCCCAGCTCGACATCCACCACGCCATACTCGTCGCCAAAGGTGAGCTTTATGGGTCGATACTGATCCACCTCGCGGCCGTCGAGGCGGAGGTTCTGCTGCAACGCCTGGAGGACAAACGCCTTCTCGTTGAGCGACGGCTCGGCTTCTCGGGGCATGACGTCGTTGCGCCCCGGTTGCTCCCGCGGTAATCCTGTGACTCAATGAGGATCCGCGCGTCTCTCTGTTTCTGCTTCACGGGATCGCTCTCATTTTATTCGGCCGCGCGGTTCGAAGGCTTCTTGTTGGCCCTGGCTCTCATTTTTTTTCCCCCTTGCCTTGTCTGTAGCAGGCGGCTGATTGTGGAGCTGCCTGCTTGAGCGTCTGCGCCTTTTGGTGGGGGGTAGGCGCCGCCATTGGCTCAACTCGCGGCTCAGGGACATTTTCTGCCAGGCGGTGAGCTCTAGGCCCCTGCAAGCCAACGGGCCTTGCTGGGCTCGACATCATTATACGGCTCGCGACCGCGTCCGTCTCCATTTGAAATCGCAAACAACCACCATCAACCAACGTCTCCCTACCATCATTTCAAAACCATCTACGGTGCAGCCAAGGCGGCAAGATGACTACAGCTCACAGGCCCACGTTTGATCCCGTATGTGTTTTCATTGCGAGCTTCCCCGGCGCGTCACTTCCAAAACTAACATCCGATTGTCTCCTAGGCCCGAGGCAAAGATGCCCTGCGAGGCCCGGCATACCACCAACGTCTGCTTCCGGCGCATACAACACTCAAGTACCGGTACGCAATGCGACGCGCCCTTCTTCCGATAAACGTTGAATAACCCCGGAAAGACGCTAATCGAAGCTCATCTTATAGAAGGCGAGGCCAAGGCGGAGCTGCCGATGAGGGCGAGGGCGCCGTCGACCTGCGCGCGGAGCTGCTCGCCGCTGAGGCCGCCCATTTTGCGAAACTGAACGGCGGCTCGAGCGCGACCGCTGCTGCATCTTCCTCTCGCCGGAGCCCCGTTCCCGGCAGCAAACCCGATGGCGACGACGACATGTCTGGTTCCGACGAAGCCACAGCCCAAGCAAAACGTCGCATCGCCAATGATGATGAGGACCCAGAGGCGAAGCGCCGGCGGATATTAGAAGAGTCAAGAGACCTTGATCGCGACGACTCGGACGACAGCGAAGAAGAGGATGACGAAGACGACGCAAGCGACGACGACAGCGACGACTCGGACGACGAGGACGCGCTGCTGCGGCGGGAGCTGGAGAAGATCAAGCGTGAGAAGGCGGAGAAGCGGGAGAAGGAAGAGCGCGAGAGGGCGGCGGCCGAGGCGGAGGAGCGCGAGCGCGACATCGCCCGAGGCAACCCGCTGCTGAACAAGCCCGACTTCAACATCAAGCGCAGGTGGGACGACGACGTGGTGTTCAAGAACCAGGCGCGTGGCACCGAGGAAAAGGGAAAGAGGAAAGAGTTCATCAACGTGAGTCCTGTTGCTGCTTTCGCACGCCCCCTGTTTTACTCTTCTTGTTTGCTGACTGCCGTTTCTCCATCAGGATCTCCTTCGTTCTGATTTCCACAAGAGGTTCATGAGCAAGTACGTCAGGTAGGGGCTCGGTGTGGTGGCTTGGATTACTGCATACTGTTGTTCTTTGTAGCTGTCTTGTCAAAGCTAGGGGATAGTGACTTGCGGACTGGAATTCAAAACCCCAAGTTGTCTCCCAAGTGGCTTCATTCTGAAAGCCTCCATTTGGTTATTCTGATTTCTTCTACAGTTTAGATACCAACCGTTTTTTTTTTTGCGCTATGGAAACCTCTGATCGACCTCTGTGAACCTTGTGCTGGCATCCAAACTGGGTTGCAGTCCAAATTGGGGATAGAGCACAGTGCGATTTGCCCCTCGAAATGTAATTTGAGGCGGCCGACCGAATTCGATACCACACGAGAACCTCACCGTTATTGTTCTAACCCATGCAAGACCACCGGCCCAGATTATAAAACCTGCCTGATCCCTTCGTATAACCGAACTCTGGGGAATTTCTTAAGTGTACCGGCTGAACCATATCTCAACCAGACTGCTCTCGGCCAAAGCACAAATGGCTTTACCACACGGGCTGGGCAGCCATCCATACCTCCCCACAGAGGCCGTCATTGCCGGCTATGCCGCAAACGAGACGCCCCTTCCGAAGATCTTGATCAAGTTCTCGCTCAGGATAGTCGCCGTATTGCTGTCCTCCATCGCGCTCTCCAGGCAATTCAACCCGAGACTCCGGCTTGCGGATCTGCTGGCGGTGTCCTGGTTCTCTCTGAGTACGCTCTCGACTCTCCCCCGTGAGAAGTGGGATCTTGATATCTACAAGCTAGGTGCCTAGTCCATACCGGCCCAGCTAACTTTCATGATCTATTCACAGACGGATATCTGCATCTCTTTTTCGAATGCAAGTTCCTGCGTCCTTTCCGTTGCTCAAGCATCATGCCCCCTCAGTGCGTCGTGTTCCTGACCAAGTCCCGGTTTGCGCTGCGCAGCATACTTTGTTCTCAACGCCGCAACCCTCGCCGGCTCCCAAAGCCTGCTCGCGCAGCTGTGGAAGGAGTATGCCCTTAGCGATTCTCGCTACCTGACGTCCGACACCTTCGTATGGACTATCGAGGCCATTTCTGTGGTACGCAGCATGCTCTCCTTTTGACGTCCTGTACTGGCCCTCTCTGCTTGCTCCGCTTACAGGCTCGTCCATCTCTCAGGTGTGCTGGGGTCCGCTGTCTGTCGCGACCGCTTTCTGCATCGTCAGGGGAAGTAACATGCGCTACCCGTTGCAGCTGCTTCTTTCGATGGCGCATATCTATGGAGTCGCGTTGTACTATGGCACCAGTACTGTCGACCTTGCGTCCAAGGGTATCGCGCATAGCAGGCCCGAGTTCCTCTATTTCTGGGTTTACTATGTAGGCATGAATCTGCCCTGGGCCGTGGTTCCAGCCGGTAAGCCAGATCCTCCGCTGGGGCTGTCTTTGGGTCTTCAAATAACCTTCTCGCCAACTGACATCGAACAACTGTGAACAGGCTTCATCTTCAGCTCCGTCCGTAAAATATGCAGAGCTTTGGACATGGCCGAGAGGGCAGAGTTGGCTGCTATTCCCAACAACAGCAATGGATCAAAGAAGAGCCAATAAGCGAATTGTACGTGTACAGCTGTTGCCATAGATTAAGGCAGCCTTGAGGCCTGAATACTATTGCGAGAAGGGGGGGGGAGGAGGAGGTACGAATGAGTGTCGCAATCTAGTCACTCAAGACTAGAGAGAAATCGAACGACCCTATCAGTCATCCATTCTCGTGACTCTGGGTTCCTGACGGTGTGGCTAGCTCCCGGGATAAGACCCGAGAGGTCACTGACGATGCCATCCGGCGCGAGGGAGGCCCAGCGGGCGATGAGCTTTGGCGCATCGATCGACTTGGGCACGTGCTCGTCCTCGCCAGAGGGCAGCACGAGCACCGGTTTCTGGAATTTGCTCCAGAAGGACGCGATCATGTCGTCGGAAAGGTCCGACGAGAAGAAGTCGTCGTCGCCACTTGCGCGCTCCTTGGTCAGTTCTGCACCGGACGGGCGCGCGCCGTGCCCCGCACCTTGGCGGATGCTGGGCGTGGCTTTCACTAGAACTTCAAACTCACCCTGGCGCGAGCAGAGAATGGTAGCGGTAGGCCGTGATTGGGGCGTCAAACATCTCGACGATCTTATCCTTGGGCATGATGGTGTCCCCCCGCCCGGACCCGACGAGCTCGGCCGCGCTGGCTAGGCCGGCCTCGAGCTCCTCCCTGGGCACCAGTGGGCCGAACGCCTCGCGGTCCGAGACGGGCCCCTGGAGGACGAAGCCGTCGACGGGCTCGGCGCCGTGGCGGGCGTAGTCGGTGTACTCCATGCAGTCCTGGCAGCCCGTCGAGTGGCCCAGCAGGACGACGCGGCGCCTCCCGAGGGCGCCGCGGAGGTGGCGCACGAGGGCGGCCACGTCCGCGACATCGTCGGCGAGGCGCCGGTGGCCGAACCCGCCAAAGGCGCTGGCCAGGCGCACCTCGAACAGCGAGTAGCCGAGCCCCGGCTCCGACTGCAGGCGCGCCGCGAGGGCGCGCACGTACGGCACCGTGTGCGGGCCGTCGCCCAGGCCGCCGATGAAGACGAGGGCGTTGGGCGACGTCGGCGACCCCGCCTCGTACGCGCAGGACCGGGGCGTCGGGCCCGGGAAGGGGTGGACGAGGACGGGGAACGGCTCTGGCGGCATGTTGGTGCGGCTTTGGATATCAATGTCGATCTCACGCAGTACGGGTTGCTGTCAGTTTTGACTGCCAACCAGAAGATACGAGATTTCGTTTCCAGTCATTATGTCATATCGTATTCATATCCATGGAGTATGTGATGCAATGTTGTAAATTTGATGGTCAAGGTGGGGTGGAGATTGCACTCCCAACGACAAAATGGCACCGCCTTTTATCGCTGACATGCACCCAGCTTGGTAGTTGTTAGCGGACATTGTAGCGGGAGCGTGCTGGAAATAGGGCACATGGCGTGCACGTTGCCGAGACTCGGGCATTTGATCGATTAAATAATACCGAGGCGGCGACAATTTGCGATCAAATGTAAACCACATAACTTACCGCACATCTCTTCTTGCCTTGAATTTGCGTTCATCATCCCACCACTGCAACCCTCCTTTATCACACACTAGCACGGATCATGTGGTAAATTGAGCTCTGGAGGGTAGCTTTGATCTCTTCATCATGGAGCCATCAGCCCTCTTCCGCAATGCCTCGACCTCAAGAAACGAGCTGTTTGCCAAGGTACCAAACTCTGGCCCTGTCTCTTCTCTTCGACTCGCCATGGAGCTGCCACTAACAACCCCAGCTCAAACCATGCTGTGTTGCAATCAGCAAAGTGGTCTTGCGCCCGCCTGACCAGCTAGTTGCCGCTGGTAGCTCTGCTCATTTGCTGCAGCTGACAGATCAGCTTTGCGGCATCCTGTCGGACCAGATCAAGCACAATGCTGCGGCCTTGGACCCCAAGATGGCGGAATATGTCTTCTTCCCTCTTTCCTACATATTCAAGGAGAAGGACAAGTACGCGGCCCGTGTCCTCGAAAACTGCATCCGGTGCCTTGGAATGCTTGTCCAGCACGGCTGGCGCTCTGCCGTTTCCACCGAGATGGCCCAGCAGCTCCTCATGCTTCTCACATTCTTGATCGCCGGCGTTCCCGGCAAGGATAAAGGTCCTCCGCCGCCTGAGGAGACCGCCTTGGAGAGCTACAGGACGCTCGCCATCCTGATTAGGACCGCTTGCCTGTCCCCTTTAGTCTCCGAGTCCCTGGTTGATGCCGCCGGGCCCCCAAGCCTCGCCCATGCTGTGACAGTAATCCTGGAGGGCGTCACAGACGGGACAACAGTCGATATCCAACTCGCCGCTCTGGACGCACTCGGGGCTCTTTTCATCACTATGAAGGACCGGGCTGCCCTTGCCTCGTTCCTCCCTGGGACGGTGTCTGCCCTCTCCAAACTCCTGTCGCCGCCCTCATCGATGAAGACCCAGCGCCGCATTCTGATCCGTGGGCTCGATGTATTGAGAGGAGTCCTCACGAAACTCCTGGGTGACATTCACAACAGAGACGCTTTGAGACAACTCGAGGGCTTGAGAAGCGCTAAGGCCAAGGAGGAAGATGCTCAGGTGAAGGAAGAGCCACCAAGACTGCTAAGTGCCTCCTGGCTGAAGGCCTCGGTCTCTCAAATCAAAGTAGCACTTGCCTTGGTGTTAAAACTACGCTCCCACGGGGCTGAAGATGTGAGGGGCGCGATCGAGAAGTTATGTCTTTCTCTACTGGACGAGTGCCATACCTCACTGGCTGACTGCGCCGTGTTCCTTGTCGAGAGCGCCATCATAACCTGGAAGGACGACCCTGAGCCTCAGGGTCCAAGGTTCGACAGGCTTCAGCTTGATCTCTCAGGGGTCTCTCAAAACTCGGTGCTCCCGGCCACGCTGGAGATCAACACGACGCTGCAAGACCTTGCCATGATATACCCCGAGCTTCAGGACACCACCAAGGCTGTTGTCTACAACTGGGTTACTAGCTTGCCAAGAGTGATGCAGGCGAGTGAAGAGTCTTTGAAGCAGCAATCCATCCGATCCCTATCCAAGGGTTACCGACTAGCCAAGGCCATGCAGATCGATTCCTCAACGCTGCACGCCGGATTGTCATCAGCTTTGAGGGATAGTGTTGTTGCGCTTACTGCAGCTCCAAGCCAAAAGGACTCGATGAGTGAAGTCGACACGGCGGAGGACGATACCACAGGTCTCATGGCTCTGGCAAAGCAGGACACACAGGCTCCAACATTCAAGCCGGCAATTCTATCTCACGGCAGCCAAAAGACGACGCGCGAGGCGCTGCTCGAGCTGGTCGCTAACATTGGACCTCCATCGCAGCAGGCGCAACTGGCGTCTGGTATGCTTGATTGCGCCCGAGATTCAGAGGGGATTGACCAGATTGCACAATACTGGCTTTCTTTTGAGCTTTCCAAGGCCGCCCTATCCAACTGCTCCGAGCTCGACGCATTCATTGACTTTTCCGCGGCCGACACGGCGGATGGGCCGGAAGAGATCTTTAACGAGCTTTACTCCTTCTCCGTCTCGGTCTTGGTTTCTCATTCCGACAGCAACGAGGTTGACTGGAGGTTGGAAGCCACTGCCCTAGAGGTGACTTCGTTTGCTGCATCTCGGTCGGGCGAGTCTTTCCGCCCCGAGTTGATTGACGTCCTGTACCCGACGGCAACGTTCCTCGGATCTCAGGTGCCGCAACTGCGAGCCCGAGCGGTCGCAACGCTGAATGGCCTGGCCTCGTCGTGCGGCTACCAGAGCGTGTCAGAGCTCATCATCGACAACGCTGACTACATGGTTAACTCGGTGTCTCTGAGACTCAACACGTTCGACATCACACCCGCGTCGACTCAGGTCTTGAGGATGATGATTCAGCTGACAGGACCAAGGCTCATTCCCTTCCTTGACGATGTGGTTGCCTCCATATTTGCGGCTCTCGACAACTACCATGGCTACCCTGCCTTTGTTGAGCGACTTTTTTCCGTTCTCTCAGAGGTTGTCAATCAAGGTGTCAAGTCGGACGTTTTGCTATTGGAGTCAAACAAGGCCGGAACGGTTGACCACAGGAAGAGGTCGCGGCAGACCATTACTGTGAACGAAATCGAATCGGACATTCTCGAGAGGCGAGAACAAAAGCGCAGGCGCAGGCTGGAGGAAGAGAACGATGATGTGGAAGAAATCGCGACGGGACACCCAAAGGAGCCCTGGAAATCAGAGGCGGCAGAGCTGCTCAAAAAGAAACAGGAGGAACTAGACGGCACTGGAGCAGATGGTGAATCAGACAGCGGGCAAGAGGTCGAGAAGGCCAAGCCACCCCCGACGCCAACCTACGCGCTGCTCACAAAGGTGGCGAACCTTACCCAGCATTACCTAACGTCTCCGTCGCCAACACTGCGCAAGTCTCTTCTGGACCTGCTCACTACTGCATCTACAGCAATGGCGGCGGACGAAGACTCGTTCTTGCCACTCGTCAACTCGCTCTGGCCCGTTCTCATTACGCGGCTGCGCGATGCAGAGCCGTATGTCGTTGCGGCGGCATGTAGGGCGATAGCGGCGGTCGCGGGGGGCGCCGGCGATTTCCTCGCCTCCAGAGTCAAAACAGAGTGGTGGGGAAACCTGGGGCCGTGGTGCCGGAGGGCTAAAGCCGAGGCCCAGGCTTCAGCCAGGGGTACAGGCCGCAGCGGTGGTAAAAGCCACGGGGCAAGCAAAGCAGGCGTCAGCTACCTCAACCTGGCCACCACGACCGACATTGTGCTCCCCCACCACCGCTCGGGCAGCAGCAGCGCCATCGAGAGCAGGAAGCCTGCCGTGTCGGGCGGGCTGGGTAGATTCGCGCAGGCGGCGCTGGTGTGGGAGGCGGCGGTGGAGCTGCTCGCGGCTCTGGCGCTGCACGTAAGGCTGGAAGATGACGTGTTCGACCAGCTCCTCGAGCTCCTGGGCGACGAGCTGGAGAAGAAGGGTCAGGTTCGCGAGGCGCTCGAGGCCGTCAACGCTGACGCGGTGTGGCTGGCGCTGTACGAGCGCGGAGCGGCAGTGCCAGAGTTCAGCTTGCCCGCCATGGACGGTGTCGCTTTTGCCCGGGTGGATCCCGTCCTGCAAGCTGTCGGGAGCAAAGCCTAGCAATGGATATAGGCTGGGTTGGTACAGTACCCCTTTTCCCTTTTGCGATACCGAAGCTGAAGCACCAAAAGAACGGGCGCCTTGGAGATTTACACTCGGCACTTTGACCATGCACTCTTGTACACTTCTCTGCGGGGGCCGGCCGAGGTAGTGAACGAAGAAATGGCGAGATAAAAAAGACAGAATGGGTACATGGCTGCGTGTGGTTGGACAAGTTGGTGACCTATCCTGGTTCTAGAGGAACGAATCGATATTTCTGATAAGCTATGGCCCGACGAGAGCTTCCTGTCCTATGGACAGTGGTAGATGTTAGGGGTGGGGGACGGTTTCCCACCTCTGTCGTTGTCCCCATCTGGCCGAGATCTGGCCGGCCCCCACCCACCTTGATGCCAATACATGGATGCAACATTGACGGCCGCAGGGGAGGTGAATCGCCAATCTTTTGACAGCTCCTGCGTGTTCAAATTGGCAGGATTTGGTCGGCGAATCACCCGACATCACATGGGTCAGAGGGTAGTCGGCTTGGGAGTCTTGTCATGTTTGACATGGACGGAACAAGCATTTGTCCGGGCCAAAGACTGAGCGGAAGGGACCTCTGGGCGAAATAGCGCGACGGGTGATTGCCCCGGAAGGATTGAGAATGGTCTTGGCCGGCATTTGAGATATGCGAAGTGAAGTGGTCCCTACAAGTGGGGCCGGCAGCCCATCAGGAGCCCCGCCAAGCGTGCTGCTAAGCGCAAAGAAGCTTTCGCCACGCCCGCCCAGAGATGGCGAGCGGGGAACCCAAATACCAAAAACTGACGTCCTCTGGTCTAACAAAAGGACAAAACCCCGTCGACCGAGAGCCACCAGCGACGCCATAGTTGGGTAAAGGAGCGCTAGCCACATAGTCAAGAGCGAGCCTTCCCCATTCTCGCCCGTCGGTATCTGCGCGCTGCCCTGGTGGATCGGACAGGCCAGCATTGGATTGCTGATGGGGCACTGCTTCTAGAAGCGCTAGAACCCCTCGCCGTCCGAAAGAGGAAGGCCACTGGTCAGCGTCGGGAACCCGACGAATAAGCGGTGCCATGCAGATAAAGTGGCATCAAATCAGTGGCGTGACCACTCCGCAAGCCGACGCGACACAACAGAGGAGGATTTCCAAAGCGCAGTGTCACCTGTCGGTTTGCATTCCCCTGTTGGATGAGACAAGGTCAATCATTGATGCGCCGGTTCCATCGCCGTCCCCATGTCTCGCTGGGTCTCAGCAACGCCGCGGCTAGTCACAGAGGCGAGCGCCTTGCAGCCAGAACTGCCTGGCTCTAGCGAGGCAGGCTCCGGCTGGAGTGTCGAGGCGCCAACAATTTACCTACCAGGTAGGCAGCCGCACCTACCTTGAAGGGGGTCAGCACAAGTGTGCAATCCATGTTGCTTTAGCCACCAACCTGCAGATGACCGGGTTCCCCAGCCCTCCGGGCAACAGCACCTGTCTCATCCTTTCAGTTCTGCAGCGGCGACAGGACTGAACCGTCGGCTGTCTGACAAGGGACCACCTAGTTGGTTGCCCAATAGCCCTCCCGGGGACTTTCACCTTCCCCATTCGTCAAAGTTGGCTCCCGCCCTGGCTGGTCTGGTCTTATCTTTGCCCCCATCGATGGATGCGACTGCGTCGATAGGCATGGCTTTCTGACTTGACATGGTCGCGCAGCTTAGTACTGTTGCTATGCGCTCCATGGCCCGCCCACACCTCTGCGCCGCCTCGGATGTTCTAGATTTCTTCTGCTCCTGTCACAACCACCCACCCCCCATGCGCGCTGCCTACCCTACCTGCATGGGTAGGTATCTCTGCATGAGTTCGAGAAACATTCTGCCCCGCTGTTGGTAGTTCGGGCAGATATGTGTATGCGTGAGCCCACGCTGGCGGAACTGCCAGAATATCTGGGCAGGATGCCGCGTTGTGACCCTCCGGAGATTGGATCACATCCCGATCCGGATGGCTTCAAAGAGAGTTAAATCTATTGGAAACACCTCTGCTCTATTCGTATCAAGTCTCCTATCCTCCTCCACAGATTTGGTGCAGCGATACTACGTACAGGCACGCCCATGAGCTCCACATCCTCCCAAGTCGGCATGCGTGTGGGCAGGGGTCCAAAATCTTCCTGCCACACCTGCGCGACCTCAGAGGGGGGGGGGGGGGGGG